CTCCTAAAACTAATATAATGTTATATGTCAATTATACCTCAATAAAAACAAACTTTATTTCTTCCTCTCTCTTCTTATATCAGCAATTTTTAGTTGTATTTTCACTATTATTCAGTTTGAAATATTTTCTAATTCCTTTGTAATATAGTCTTTGAGCTATTGATTAATTATAAGTTTGTTGTTTAATTACACAAATACTGGAGTTTTGCTAGATAACATATTGTTACTGAGTCTTAATTTTCCATCTACTATTATTTTAAAAATGTACTTGTATTATTTCATTGCTTTTAAGTTTGAGAGTTGTTTTTTGACAACATATGGTCTACTTCCAAATATTTGCTTTTTCCTAGATGTACTGCATTTACTGAATCTATAATTCAATTCCACTTTGATAAGAGACTACTCTCTATAACTTTAAGTATCTAGTCAATCAGTGCACTTGAAAACAATGTGTATTGTGCATTATCAGGTATAGTGTTTTATAAACATTACTTAGGTTAAGGTAGTTGAGAGTGCTGTTGAGTCTCATTTTAGATCCAAAAACACAAATGGGTTAAAGTGAAAAGATGGAAAAAGATATTCCATGCAAGTGGTAACCAAGAGAGCTAGGGTAGCTATACTAATAACAGATAAAATATACTTAAAACTGTTACAGGCGATAAAGAAAGGTATTGTATGTTGAAAAGAAGGTCAATTTATCATGAAGGTATAATAATTATAACATGAGTGCATCAACATCACAGCTCCAAAATACAAGAATTAAAAATTATAGGATTAGCCTGGCCAGTATTGCTCAGTGGTTGATGTTGATCAATGAACCAAGTGGTTCTATTCCTGGTCAGGGTATATGCCTGGGTTGCAGGCTCAATCCCCAATAGGGGGCATGCAGTTTCTCTCATCAATGTTTCTGTCACTCTATCCCTCTCGCTTCCCCTCTTTCTAATAATCAATAAAACTTATTTTTTAAAAATTACAGAATTAAGGGAGAAATAGTTCTACAATAATAGCTGGACACTTCACTACACCACTTTCAATAATGGATAGAACAACTGGACAGAAGATTAATTTAAAAATAGAGGACTGTGCCGAAGCCAGTTTGGCTCAGTGGATAGAGTGTCGGCCTGCGGACTAAGGGGTCCCGGGTTCGATTCCGGTCAGGGGCATGTACCTGGGTTGCGGGCACATCCCCAGTAGGGGATGTGCAGGAGGCAGCTGATCGATGTTTCTCTCTCATCGATGTTTCTAACTCTCTGTCTCTCTCTCCCTTCCTCTCTGTAAAAAATCAATAAAATATATTAAAAAAAATAAATAGAGGACTTTGCCCGGCTGGCATGGTTCAGTGGTTGAGCGTCAACCTATGAATCAGAAGGTCCCAGTTCAATTCCTGGTCAGGGCACATGCCCAGGTTGAGGGCTCGATCTTCAGTGGCATGCAGGAAGCAGCCAATCAAAGATTCTCTCTCATCATTGATGTTTCTATCTCTTCCTTTCTAAAATCAATAAAAATGTATATTTTTTAAAATATAGGACTTGAACAACATTATAAATCAATTGAACCTACTTATACATACTGAACACATTAGCCAATAACAGCAGACTACAGATTTTTCATAAGTGTGCACAGAATATTTCCCACATGCCCCCAGGATAGACAATATGTTAGGCCACAAAATAAGTTTTACTACATTTAAGAAGACAAATCATAAACAGTATCTTTTCTAAAGACAATATATTAACTTGAGTCAAAAAAAATCAGAATGGAAAGTAGAAAATACCTTGAAACAAATGAAAACAAAAACACAACACAACAAACTTACAGGAGGCAGTGAAAGTAGGACTCAGAGGGAAATTTACAGACATAAATGCTTACACTAACAAAGAAGGAAGGTCTCAAATCAGGAACCTCAGTTCACACCTTAGAGAACTAAAAAAGAAAACTAAAGCCAAAGCTAGAAGAAGGAAGAAAGTAATAAAGCTCAAAGTAGATAAATAAAATAGATAACAAACAATAGAGAAAATCAATAAATACAAATACCAGAATTGACAACATTTTAGTCAAATAACTAAAATGACAAAAAAACCTCAAATTATTAAAATAAAAAATGAAATTGGGGATGTTACTTCTAATGCTGCAAAAATAAAAAGGATCTTAGAGCACACTATGAATGGCTGTATGCCAGGTAATTGGGTAATTTAGATGAAATGGATAAATTCCCAGAGACACGCAACCTGCCAGACTGAATTATGAAGAAACAGAAAATCTGAACAGATTAATAATTAGTAAGGAGATCAAATCACTAATCAAAACCTTCCAAGAACATCCCTGGACCTGAAGACTTACCTGGTGAATGCTACCCAATATTTCAAGAATAATAAACAACAGTTCCTCTCAAACTCTTCCAAAAATCTGAGGAAGAGGGAACACATCCTAATTCATTCCATGAGACCAGTATTACTGTGATACCAAAGTCAAACAGATACACAGGCAAAGAAACTACAGAACAATATGTCTTATGAATATTGATGCAAATTCCCTCAACAAAATAATAGCAAACTGAATTTGGTCACATAGTAAAAGGATTGTACAGCATGACCAAGTAGAATTTATTCATGGAATGTAAGAGGTTTCAACATACAAAATTAATTAACATAATGCACCACATTCAGAAAATTAGGGAAAAACACATTATCATCTCAATTGATGCAGAAATTGAAAAAAACACTCAACAAACTGGGAATAGATGGAATCCTCCTCAACATAAAAAATGATAGCTAACATTCTCTTTCACCTACGATCAGGAAAAAGACAAGGATGCCAGCTACCAATGCTTCTATTCAACCTAGTTTTTAAAGTTGTAGTCAGAGCAATTAGGAAAGAAAAGGTATCCAAATTGTGAAAGAATTAGTAAAAATATTGGTAGCTGGTATGGTCTTATATGGAGCAAACCATAAAGATTCCACATACAAAAAAGTCAGAATTAATAAATGATTCATCAAAGTAAAAGGATAAAAAGTCAACAAGCAAAAATCAGATGAACACTGTACAGTACCAGTGAGCAATCTGAAATGGAAATTAGGGAAACAATTTCATCTACAATAGCATACAAAATAATAAAATACTTAGGAATTAACCAGTGAGATGAAACATTTGTATAAATGAAAAGTAAAAAATCGGTCAACTTTTCAGGCCAATACATTCATCAAACTTCTGAAAAGTAGAAAACACTGACAATGCCAAATGTTGGTAAAGATACAGAAAAACCTAAACTTTCAAATATTGCTAATGGAAGTGCAAATTGGTAGAGCTTTATTGGTAAACTTTGCTGTTATTTACTAAAGCTAAATATGCATAACCTAACATTCAGGAAAAAAAGAACTATATATATAAAATGTTCATAGATGCATTACTAATAATACCCAAACTCCAAACATTAAAGGAAAATAGTGATAGTCATACTATGGAATGTTAAAACTCATAGAACTCAACAAATATAAATGAACGACAGCTACATGTGTAGCAAAATGAATCACAGAGACACAAAATAGTACACGATTACATTTATATCAAGTTCAAAAACAGATAAAATTAACTGATAATAAATGTTTTGAGGGTACACAAGCAGCCTTCTATTGTTGGCAGTGTTTTATTTCTTAGCAGGGTCGTGATAAAGTAGTCATGGTTTCTTTATGATAAATCCATTCAACTATTCTACTATAGCTTGAATGTTTGCATTCCCTCAACATCGTATGTTGAAAATCAAATCTCCAATGTGATGGCACTTTAATGGGGTCTCTGAGAGGTAATGAGGTGATTACTGCTTTTACAAAGGAGCCCTGGGAGTTGTTCTTGCTTCTTCCACTTTGTGGCTACACAATGAGAAGCTGCTAATTATGAAACATGAAGTAGGTTCTCACCAGACATCAATATGTTGGCACCTTGATCTTGGATTTTTTTAGCCTCCAGTACTATAAGAAATAAATTTCTGTTATTAATAAGCTACCTACTTTGTGGTATTTTTGCTACATCAGCCTGAATAGATTGACATGTACACGTAGTTTAAACCCTCTTTCTGGGTGTATGCATGTAATAATTCAATGAGAAATTTTAAAATAAAAAAAAATCAGTATTTTAAGCCACATGGTTGATGTTTGTATATCATGTTCTGAGGAACCAAAGGAAAAAGTGTTAATTTATCATTGATAACTATACAGATTTATCAAAAAACTCAGAAATCAGAAATTGGTAAACTTTTATCTAAATTCACCTAGACACAATTTCACAAACCAAATTAGTTATTTATTTGTATTTCACCTTATTTCAGGTATATTTTAGAGCATTTGGCATTTAAATTCTATCTGCAACATTTTTGTGAAGTTGTCTTCTAGAAAGAAAATTAAACACCAAACCAAGAACTCCAATAAAGACAAAGTTTTAAGAAATTGCCTGGAGATATAAGTGCTCACTTCTTGTCTGTTATTGAATCATAACCACCCACCAATACTAAGTGGGTAGAAATGATCCAACCTTCCACAGAATTTTTCCCAAAAGTTTATTTTCTTCATTAGATTCCACATATAGTACTTGTCTTTCTCTGACTGGTTTATTTCACTTAGCATAACAAACAAAATAGAAACTGACTCAGATACAGAGAACAGACTGACAGCTGTTGGGGGGGAGGGGTACTAGGTGGAAAAGGTGAAAGGATTAAGAAAAAAAATACCTCATAGACACAGGCAACAGTGTGGTGATTATCAAAGGGAAAGGAGGTGAGACAGGTAGAAGAGGAAAATGGGGGGATAAATGATGATGGGAGGAGACTTGACTTGGGGTGATGAACACACAATACAACATAGAGATGATGTATTATAGAACTGTACACCCCAAACCTAAAATTTATTAACCAATGTCACCCCAATAAATTCAATAAAAATTTTTTAAACATTTGCCTGAAAGACCCCACATTTTCCACAGAGCTCTATGTCACAAGAAAGTAGAGTTACCTTCAATCGGTTTTCCTTTTCCCACACAACAGACTGAATGATGGTAAGATAATTCACAATGAAGACAAATAAGATTACTAAAGGGGCGAAAACACTAAATAGGACATAGAAGTAATCATGATCATATCTTGGGTATGGAAATCTCTGAACAAATACATTAACATTTGTGAACAACTGTTGTGCGGTCTTGTGGTTATGATATTTCATGATGGCCTTATCCAAGGCATGCTGCATGAGCAGGAACCCTTCAGAGATGTACCCTAAATAAGAAAACAAGGGTTACTAAGTACAACAGAACAATAAATAGCTAAGCTGAACAAAGAAAACGGCAATAAAACTACGTCAAAGATAAATAACAAAGTTAATGCGGTGATGAGGTCTTTGCCAGTCTAAATTTTACAAAGCCCTATTTAGTAGGCACTAAATTTCACTTTGGAAAAATGAAAAATGTTCTGGAGATGTATGGAGGTGATGGTTGCACAATAATGTCAATGTACTTAATGCCACAGATCTGTATACTTAAAGGTGGTTTAAATTTTATTATGTATACTTTACCACAATAAAAAATAGTTTTAAAAAAATTTACACACAGCTATCATGGTGCCCCCATACAGATACATAATACTTTTTTGTTAAAGATCCTAATTCCCAGCTTCCCATAAGCAAAATATTGTAATTATAGAACTGCTTTCTTCAATTTCAATCAACTGAATGAGCACTAGATAAATTACTTGATAGGGAGAGACTTTGATTATGTGCCTTCACATTTGAATGAAAGTCAGGCTGAGTGAGTTATATGAACTGATGTCCACTAAGGCAATGCTACTCAGTGAGCCTTAGATCTGTCACAGTATGCAAATACTCTCTTACCAGTAGATGAATTTACTACAGAAATTAAGAGCAAACACTTAAAAACTTTTATAGAAATTTGGCATTTCCATGACATCTAAAAACTGGTCTTTCTATTAATCTATATAAATCCTTTGTAGGCTTTAAATATCATATTTTCTCCCCTGTGAATGAGGCCTTTTAATTTTTTAATAGTCTTCTAAATGATCATAAGTACTTAATTTTAATGAAGTTCAATTTATTTTTTCTTTTATAGTAAACTAGAGGCCCAGCACATGAATTCAAGAATGGGTGGGAGGAGTGGACTCCTGGAGAAAGTTAAAGTCAAGGCTCTGGGAAGGATAATTGGCCAGAACTCTGAGTCCTAAGGATCAGAGGGAACCCACACAGCACTGACTTGGGCCCATCCCATGGGATGGGCGTAGTAGAAAGAAGGTCCGCAGAATTGCTGGTTGGCAGGGAATCCTAGATCTGGGTCCACAGTCAGGAAAGGCTGAGGAGTGCCGGCGCAGAGGCACAGCCTTTCCCCCTCGCAGGGGAATCTTGATCTGGGTCCACAGTCAGGAAAGGCTGAAGAGGGCCTGCAGGAGAGGAGTGCGTGGAGGGGCAGCCTCTCCGGCCTCTGTGGCTTGTGCCTTTCTGCATGGAGCCTAGTCCAGTGATGGCGAACCTTTTGAGCTCGGCGTGTCAGCATTTTGAAAAACCCTAACTTAACTCTGGTGCTGTGTCACATATAGAAATTTTTTGATATTTGCAACCATAGTAAAACAAAGACTTACATTTTTGATATTTATTTTATATATTTAAATGCCATTTGACAAAGAAAAATCAACCAAAAAAAATGAGTTCGCGTGTCACCTCTGACATGCGTGTCATAAGTTCGCCATCATTGGCCTAGTTCATAGGACCTTTTGGATACAGACACTTACCTATGGCTAGAGTGTGGGAGAAGTTACAGAATTGTGGAATCTGGGGAGAGAGGGGGATCCAGGAGAAGTGGCAGCGAGTTTGGTGCTGAGTCATGCCTGAGCCTGTGACCTGGGTAGCCATTTTGCCCTGAAGAGATAGCCCCTCCCTCCAGTATCCAGGCAACTAATACGACCACACCCAGATTCCACCTTGAATGGTAAAAGGATTAAAAACAAAAACAACAAAGAAAACAACTAAATAGTCCCTGAGAGCACAAAGGTGCTGGACTAAAGAGGGACTCTCAGTCCCAGCAATCAGAACCTGAGAAACACTACAGTACAGAAGACTGGGATCTTAAGCCAGCCAAAGGAACACTTCACTTTTACATTTTTATTTTATTTTTTATTTTTTTTTTTTTAATTACTTTGTTATCTTTTTTCTTTGTTTTTCCTGTTTTTGTTTGTTGCTTTATTTTCTATTTCTTTTCACATTATTTTTCCATCCCTCTATTTTATTTTTATTTGCTATTTTTATACCATTTTTGAAATCAAATTTTTTGTAAATTTATTATTTTTTCTCGTTCTCTTTCCTCTTATCCACCCATCCCCTTTCTACTTCATCCATACTGAACTGAGATCTTCTCCATATTCATCCAATTCTTAACCTTATATTCTATATATCAGCTCAGCATCTACAGATTCTGCCCCCACCCTCTTTGCTGGGGATTTGGTGTTTGTATTTTTTAAATTTTTTTATGTTTTTATCATTGTTACTATTACTATTTTTGTTGTTTTGTTTGATTGTGTACCTATTGGTTCTGTGGTGTTTCCCCCCATATCTATCTATATCTATCTATCTATCTATCTATCTAGTCTCCTTTTTCTTCCTTTTTCTTTTTTCTCATCTTTTTCGCTCTCTTCGCTTTCATTTATGCTCTCTTTTCTCGCCCCTAATTCTCTTTTCTCAGGTGGTCACTTATAGTGGGGTTATTATTGTTGTGAGTACATTTTTGTTTTGGTCCCTTTGTGTTGTGTCTTGTCAAGGAGAATTTTATCCTGTCTGGCCAGGTGCTAGAGAGTGAGCCTCATAACCAGACACCTAGAGAGGAAACTCCATCCACAAACAGGTCAATAACACCCCAGACCCAACTACAAAGGCAGGAAGAAGGCGGCAATGAGGGAGAGAGCATGAGTCAGTGAGGGACCAAAAGAGGAGTGTGTGGTCATGTGTGATGTGTGTACGTGTATATGAGTGAGGCACAGATAGATCCCACAGGACCTTCGGGGTCAGGCTAAACAGGCTCGCCTAACTAGGCAGCCTCTGCTACCATTGTAAGCAGTTCCAGGAGGCCAGCTCATCCTCAGAAGCCTAGTGTTTTTAAGTGGAGAGCTGCTATAACTGGGAGCCAGGCCTTACCCCAACCCAGGGTGTCCTCAGATATCATCTGGGACTCTACAGACACCCCTGCCAGGGACCTGCTACCTCAGCTGTGGTCCCACAGCCAACGACGTCCAGCAACCCTGGGCACAGGCTCCTGTGAGTTCTGAAGCATGCTCCCCTCTGACTGGCCCAACACCTTAGCCCGGGGAACTGCAACCACTCAAGCAGCAGACACGTGAGTGGCCCACTCCTGTCCAAAAAGCAGCAGCCCCGCGAGCAGCCTTCCCCAGGCCTAAGAGCAGAAGCCTCAGGTGGCCTGCCCCTGTCCAAGGAGCAGAGCTGTTATCTGTGTGAGCAGCCCTCTCCTTCGTCCAAGGAGCAGCAACCACGTGAGCAGCCTGCCACATCTAAGAAGCAGCAGCCCCACGCAGCCTGCCCCCGTCCGAGGAGCAGCAGCTGCACAGCCCACACCTTCCTCCTGTCTGAGGAGCAGTAGGTGTGCGAGAAACCTGCCCCCATCCAAGGAGCAGCAGCTGCACGAGAAGCCTGCCCTCATATGAGGAGCAGCAGCGGTGTGAGCAGCCAATACCCATAAGAGGAACAGCATTGCCATGAGCAGCCTGCCCCAGTCTGAGAAGCAGCAGCCACACGAGCAGACCGCCTATGTCTGAGGAGCAGCAAACCCTGTGCAGTCCACACTGGTCCAAGGAGCAGCAGACACATGCACTCTGCACCTGCCTGACGAGCAGCAGCTGGGTGAGTGGCCTGCCCCCATCTGAGGAGCAGCAGATATACGTGCAGCTCGCTCCCACCCGAACAGAAGCAGCCATGCAGGCAGCCCATCCCTCATCCAAGGAGCAGCAGTCACGTGAGCAGAAAGCCTCTGTACGGGGAGAAGCAGCTGCACTCTGGCCCAAGGAGGAGCAGCCGCCCAAGCAGCTCACCCCTACCCAGCAGCCACACAAGCAGACAGACCGACCACATCTGAGGAGCAGCAGCCCTGCACCGCCCACACTGGTCCAAGGAGCAGCAGCCACACAGTCTGCACCTGTCCAACGAGCAGCAGCTGGTTGAACATCCCGCCCCCATCTGAGGAACAGCAGCCGCACGTGCAGCTCACTCCCGCCCAAAGAGCAGCAGCCACACAAGCACCTGTCCCCCATCTGCATGAGCAGCCCATACCCGTATGAGAAGCAGTAGCCCTGTAATCAACCTGCCCCTTTCCAAAGAGTGGGGACCTCATGAGCAACCTGCCCATCTGAGGAACAGCAGCAGCGTGTAGCCAGCCCAGATCCAAGAAGCAGCAGTCATGTGAGCAGTCCTTGCCCATCCGAGGAGAAGCCACGTGAACAGCCTGCTCCTGTCCAAGGAGCAGCAGCCACGCTCAGACCACTCCCACCTGAAGAGCAACAGTCCCATGATCAGCCCACCCCTGTCCAAGGAACAGCACCTGTGCGAGCAGCCTAACCTACCAGCCAGAGAAGTACCAACCAGAGGAGCCACTGCCAACTGAGGAGCAGCCACTACCGTGACCACTGGAGGAGCAACTGCAGCCCCAGGAACCACTGCCACCCAAGGAGCAGGCCCCCCATGACTCGACATCTGGATCAGTAGGCAAGACCAAAAATGGGTAGACAAAGAAACCCCCAAAGGATAGAAAAGGAGGAATCGCCAGAAAAGCAGCTAAGTGAAACAGAGGAGCAATATGTCAGAAAAAAGAATTCAGAAAAAGGATCCTAGAGGGCATAAACCGGATGGAGGAAAAAATAAACAACTTATGTAAGAATCAAGAAGAAATGGATAGGAGAAAACCAAGATGGCGGCATAGGTAAACACTGGAGATTGCTGCCTCGCACAACCACTTCTAAAATACAACTAAAAGACGGAATGGACATCACCCAGAACCACAGGAAGGCTGGCTGAGGGGAAATTCTACAACTAGAAGGAAAGAGAAAGGCATACCGAGACTCAGAGGAGGTGCAGTGTGGAAAATACAAAGGTGCGGAGGTGCGTGCAGAGCGGGCTGGCGGCTGAGGGCACGGTTGTCTGTTTCAATTGGGAGGGAGTCTCAGGATCTGAGCTCCAGTTCTGGGTGAGTCTCCGGGGTCCCAGACTCAAACGG